GTGTTGCTCATATTCTCCATATAAAAAAATCATCGAACGTACTACATATGGAACAAAATGACTGACATCGTCAGCAAAAAAATTGTCAACGACAACGCCTAGGCGCTTAAAACTTGCATTTTATTTTACCAAAAGTGAAAGGGATACAAAACGGCATACTCAATATCTTTCTAAGAAACCTAATTAAAATTTTTGCCAAAGTTTACTGTTTTTTTTTCAAATATTGCACAAAATTTGAAACTTGTATTGATATGGTTTTTGTTAAAGACAAAAATTTAAGAACACAGCAAGAAACACAAATGAATTTCAGAACAAAATTTTATAACAGCGCTTAAAGATTTGCATGCCTGTTGTATAATTTTTTAATATCAGAAAGCAGAAAATTCGCGAGTTACTATTTTTTTTAACTCTTACATAATCAAAGTTTTGACAACTCCAAGTAGTTTTCTGTTTTAACACCGAGGAATGTATTCCATGTACCATTAAGTATTTTAAAAACAAATAAAATTTTGATTTTCGCCCAGCTAGATCTGTTATCCGAACCACTGTGCATCGTACTTTTCGATTTCCCATAAGAATAACACAAGAAAAATTTTTTTTTTTTACTTCTGAATATTATATTTAGCGAACGATACGTGGTACTGAAAAGGTCTTGGGCTCATATTTTCTGATACTTATTTTGGCATCTAAACGCAACTTTTGAGCATGGTTCCGAGAAAAAAAATTGTTTTCTGAAACACCCTAATGTATGTGATTGTAAAAATTTATTTATTTAAACGTACTTCCTGCGACTAATATAAAATTTTTTTTTCACATAAAAGCTCATACAAATATATTTTGAACAATCCTTCGAAATCAAAGTTTTATTGCTTTTTTTCTTAATGCCTAATTTATTGAATTTAGCAAATAGAACTCTTATGCTGGATTTCCAGTAGGCATTAAATGACAAAAATTGTAATGACAAGCTTGGGCATTAAAAAATATTTTTGTCATTACATTACAAAAATAGTCATTAAATTCATTTTTACATTGCATTTTTAAAATGCCTCCACATTTTTGTCATTTTAATGCCTCGTGGAAATTCGGCATTAGGAATGTAGTTACCCATGTACATATTTATGAATCAACCATTACCCTTTGAAATTAATTTTGTGAATAGCATATTTCCACCAAAAGCTTAACTGCAGTTAAGAGCTCAGGTAAGTTTCAAGATATTTGACATGGTATTATTGGAAAGCTTTATTTCTTCATTTTTGCTTTTGACTTTCGTTTGCCTGTACACTTGTGCGGTTTTTTGTGGATTTGAATGTATGACGTTTTTTCAAACCATTTTTTTGCTGTAGCGATTTTGCTTTTTTGAGAGGTGTTATTACTTTTTTCAGTGTGTAAGAGACAATGCTTCTGATGATTAATTTGTCTTTGTGTTCTTACATATTTCATGTATTTATTGTTGTGGTATTTATTTTTTTTTTGGTTGAAATACAGATAAAATTTGATTTATTTAATTAATATTCAGTTTTAAATTGAATAATAAGTGTTGAGTGAAGAAATAAATTGTTTTGTTTTCCTTAATATTGCCTCGCTGGATTTTGTATGCGTTTTTTTTTTTAATTTTTTACATGGAGTTTCTGAATTTATGCGGTTTTTGAAAATGCTGGAAAGCATCCCCTGTTTTTGTGTGAAGGTAAAGAACTTTTTTAGGTAGATTTTTTTTATGCGGTTTTCTGAGGAACGCATGTACCGCATAAAAACAGACCTAAGAGTACTTTATTTGAGCAATTACCCCTTTCGAGTTGTAATCTCCTTTTTCCAAAAGACATAAACTGCAGTTAATGAACTATTAGATAAGAGCTTGTGCATTTTGATCGAATATCACTTACTTATATAAATACAGTGTTTTCCGAAATCCATCCAACAAGAAAATTGGCTCAACACATATGAAGTTCCATAATTTTAGGCTTATAATTTGTATATAAAAATTCCGAGCGATTTAACGTTATAGCATATATACATATATAGTTCCTGATCTTGCGAACCATATGAGTTTATTTTAATTTAGTTAAAAAACAACGAGTATAAGCTACTGAATTAGCACATACAAAATATGGCAATAACAACACCTGTTACTTGTTTTAGAAACAGACAGTCTTTGGTAAAGAATTTTGATAATTAACAACTCTTATTTGCAATACTTATTAATTGGAGTTTGAAGATTAAAATGAATGTCAACAAAAAGAGGTCAAGAGGATGCATATGGATACAAAATGCACTTATGTGCAAACGTAGAGAAATCTCAAACAAATAATGGCGTTATTATTAAAATAATGATGTTTTCATTTCTTCTAAAAAAAAGTTGCCTCATCTATCGTGCATAATATGTTTGATGTAAAAGAGCATGTTGTTGCCTACTTATCGCGTCAGCAGAATGTTTTCGTTTAAAGCAACCGTCTGATTTTCCGGGCAACAATCGCCCCTGGCAAACTATCAAAGGACAGAGAATACCATGTTTGCCTTATCGATTTGACTTATTTTACAAACGAACACGAAAAGAGAAAGGGGCAATCAAAAGGCGAAATTCGGTAGAAACGAAAACACCATAAGTTTCTGGGAAGAATACATACATATCGAGCAAGGTTTGCAACCTCTTAAGCCCTCCGCGTGCATAAATTATTAAAAAATAGATGTATATCTTTATTTTTATCTCGTTGTTACTAAAATTATTTTTACATACTACTTTTTTAATCACATTTTGTCCTTAGGTAACGCATACACGTTCCAACCGTTTTCAAAATTCTTCGTAAATAACATTCAGCCTTATCATGAGTTTCATTTTCCTCGAACCGGTTCACTTTTCACTTTTGGTTTCCATGGTTTTACTATGGGCGGATGACAAAGTTTCGGGTGAATTTTTTTTCAGGCGAAACTCAGGATAAGGCAGATTGTAAACAACGACTACATATACGTGTTGAGAAAAATATACAAAATCATTGATCGAACCACAGTATACAGTAAACCAGCCATTGACAATATGCTTATTTGAAAATTAGTACATGAAATATTGTGAATGTATAGAAATTTTTTGTCATTTACCCATAGGAAACGACTGGTGCAAAAGTACCCGCAAATGTTTGCTGATATATTTGAAATGTAAATTGAACAGCAAAATTCGTAAAAAAATAATAATAAAACAAAAATATTGTTAATTACTACGTGGGAGGCGGGCGTGGTTATTGGCAGATTTCGCCAAAATTTAACACTAACCCAAATTATACCAAAGGCAACTTCGACACCGACTTTCGCATCCATCGTTTGTATCAAATTGATACAAATTTCGAAAACATATTGAAAATATTAAGAAAAAGGGCGAATATTTTAAATTGTTTTTTTTTTGCGTCTAATGCGTATAGATCTTTTAAGCATTCTTATTCTTATTATCAGAAAATGAATCATTAGATGATAAAAAACGAAAAAAACCCAACATTTCATTGAATACTACGATCTTTTTCCTTATGTATCAAATTGATGCACAACGTACTTTGTGTTACACAAAAAAAAATTAAAAAAATATCTAAATTTTGTTCGAGCTAGCGTGTTTACAAACGGAGAGGGCTGAACCAATTCTTCTCGTCATTCTGAATATTTTGATACACCATGAATGCATATGTGTATATATGTACATACATTTTATACGGTTAACAAACGCGCTCGCTTATCCTTGGATTCACTTGGGTTAACGAAAACGACAACTGTGAAAAATTTTAAGTTTTTTGGTGGAGGAGATTTTATATCCTAAATTTGGGAGTATAAATAATTAATTTCTTATCTTAAAAACGTTTAGATTTTACATTAAATTCGATAGCTACTTGCCAAAATCTTTATATTTAAATTAATAAAATTTTAGTGACATATTTAAAAACAAATATATTTTACGGTTCAACATTGAAGGGGGTTTGAAACAAAATGAATAATTTATTGTTAGTATAAAGCTAGAAACACAATTATCATCTTATTGAGCATTGGAACTCTTTTCTTTCAAAAACAAAAGGGGAAATGTTCGGTTATTTGTGCAATGGTTTTGGGGTGGGGAGCGGAGACCATGGACATTGAAAAATGGGGTAAAATTACATTTTGACAGAGAAAATGTAAAGCAGGTTACGCCAACCACTATACCTTTCCACGTTGTAGGCTTTCGGCAGCGCTTAGGAAAAATAACCCTCATCAGTCCAACTCCAGCTACGCTGACCACATTATTTTTTACAAAAAGTCCATATTTCAAAGCCGAATTTATTCATAAATTTTTATCTGAAAATTTGAAATCTTTATTTTAAACGAAAGTTTAATTGTTTGACCACACGCATGTGTTAAAATTTTTTGCTTTGGGTTAAGCGTTTGAACACAATAACCCAAAATTATTGTACAAATAACCGAGCCGTACCCCACAAAATATGTACATTTTTCCCGTTCAAATTTCGATTCTAAGAGCAAAATGTTTATAAATAAACAAAAAATTAATAACAAAATTTGGAGGATTTTAGATATTGGATACGGTAGCACGATACTACAATGCAGTTGTTAAATGGAACGAAAAAATGACAATGGAACTGTTTTCTTTTTTGTATCATGGACCGAACATCGTATAATTTTCTATAACTTGATTTTTAAAATGGATAAATTTTGTACAAATTGTTTACTTTTGATCAAAAAAAAAAATAAAAATTTGGATTACACATTATAGCAAAAATGTGAGATGTCATTTAGTCAATTGTGGTATTCAAAATTTCCTGGTAAAGTTAACAAGTGAAAGATGTAATATTGAAATTACGATCTCGTTCCCGGTCCGAGATATGCACTTTTTGAAATATATTTTTTACCAAATATGCTGTTTATTCCCTTATCCATTTTACAATTGATGTACACATTTTTCAAAGTTAACATACCTAATAACAGGGAACTGTGAGCAATATAAATCGTTTAAATTTTAAAGTAAAAAAATCAATAAATAAGTTTTGCTCAAATTGAAGAAACGGTTGGAACGTCTGTTCATTATCTTACATACATATGTATGTAGATACATATGTAATATTGAAAGCAAGCTGATTGTTGTCTACTTTAAGGCGCTCATTTTGAGTTACACATATCTACGTATCGCTAATTTACTAAAATACTGTTAAAACTTAAAAACGGAATTTTTGACATATTGTACATATTACATATGAACTAAAAACGTTAAAATCCCCGTTTCAAGAATTGTGACAGTCTTTTATTAAATGAACGATATGTGAGCCGTTTATTTTGAAAGTGACGTTTGACTTTAGAGATCATTTACCTGTATCTGAACGCGTCTATTATTCGTTCAATTGCAACAGCCAAAGGTAACGAAGTTGGTCATTAGCGCTTATAACTTTAGAACCATTTACAGATGCATTTAGTTACAAGTAAACACCCATTTAAGGACAAGAGGGGGAAATAGCTTATGCTACCTCCAAAATAAACGGCTCATGTGTGTTCAGTACAAATAAAGATACTAGGTAGAAGTGACAACCAAATTTAGCTCTCTTTGCAGCTGACTTTACTGTTTACAACAAATTAAAAAAAATGTAAATAAAGAATGGTTTCAATACGATTTGAAATATCCTTTCCTATGTTGGACATTTCAGCCACAGTACAAAAATAGAGAAATGTCGAAATCACTCCCACCTTGTTGAAATTGCCTTGGTACAAATCTCAATTATAGTAGAAAGCAAATTAGTTAAAAATCTTATGAGGACGTAAGTATGTATACGGCATTTTTTATCATCTAAATAATCTCAATCTAAAGGACATTACATAAAATGCAACTATTCTCATAACTACAAATAGCGATAGTAAAAAAATGGCAGAGAGTTCATAATTTGCGTGGCCGAAATCCATATCCCGAAGAAAGAAGGAAGGATGCGTATGGTGACAGTATATTTCCTTGCACTCCAATTTTCCACGTCCATAGCCGAAGATCGCCAGCATTGAACCATCCATCGCGTACCTCAGGAATGATATATCAAACAAAAATGTTAAATATATTGGAGAATCTTTTCGCTGCAGGAAAAAACCAGAAAATGCAAGGAAAGGGCAGATGAAGAAAGGTCCAAATATAGCACCATACTGAAAAATCACAATAGAATTAGTAGTTGAAAATTGTGAGATATTTCTGTATCTTACAGTTAGACTCAGTGCAGAGCCAACACAGAGTCCAATGCTTTGACCCACTAGAGCTGTAAGGAATATGATCGTAAAGTATAATACGAAGCGCTTCAATTCCATTGGCTGTCCAGTTAAATAGTAGGTTGGAAAAATAAAGAGGCTTGTGCATATAAGTTGTATCGGAAAATCAGCCAAAGTTATTGCTATATAATATGCTCGCAGCGAGTACCAACGGTTGAAATGCTCTCGCGAAACTACTGGCACTTCTAGTGGAACTATAGAAAAAAATGCAAAAGTTATTGGATTAGAATACGGTAAACAGTTAAACTATAGCTCTTACATTTGGTAAGAATGGACGAAAAAGCGCAGAACATAATGAACATTATCGTGTAAAAGGCATACCGGAAGACATTAATCGCATTCGCCGCGTCGTTGCCAATATCGTAGTAAAGCAAGCCAATGAGTAGCGATGCAGCGAAATGTATGGCGAAGCGCATAGTGGTAAGAGAACTGTCACGCCAAATGAGCAGGAAGGTGCGCACGAGCAATATGCCCAGCTGGCGGAAAAATGGGGTCGAATAGACATTCTCACTTTGACACAGATGTCCAGTGTCGATTGACATTTTTGGTTTCTTCGGTTTCGTTAACCTATTATCACTTTTCGATCTATACAGTTCTTTTGTATTTGGTTTGCTTTCGCTGAGTAGTTCGCAATCTTCCCACATCCCGGTTGAAAGGTCTTTTTTATGTGTCAATGGTGATTTAGTACATGTTGAGGTCGCTTCTTTCGATGAAATGAAGTGTACGCGATCAGCATGTCGATATTCCGTGTTTCGACCATTTAGCATTTTCTCAATAAGCCGCTGATTGTTTGGCCCATATTCATTTGTACCGATTTCCATCACTAACGGAAAAAAGAACAATATTTAAGTTCCAACGCTCATTAACTTAATATAGAAAGGCCCTAACTCATATAGTCGGTGAAATGCAAAAAAGCGGTAACTGACTAACATTTTTTATGATGTGTGGACTTATAATTCGATAAAATGCCTCATAATAAATCAAAAGAGAATTTTGAATTCTTATCTAGTTACGCTTTTTTGTATTTTAGCGACTATATGAGTTAGGGCCTTTATATATTAAGGTAACGATATACATATCGTCGTTTAAAGTACAAAACCGCGTATCGTCGTTCTGC